AAACCCAGCTCCTGGCCTCAGTACTTCCCCACGCCTGGGAGGCCATGGCTGGGCCCCTGGCCCTTCCACTTGCGGCTCTCAGGTCCCTCCAGTCTGGCTGTCCCTTCCACGCGCAGACTGTCGTGGGAACTGACCCATTTCCGTGGTCCTTTGGTCATTCCCCGTTCCAGCCTCCCACCAGCACAGGTGTGCTCACTGTATCAGGGATGCAACGAAGGGAGCAGCTGAACTCCCTTCCACTTCCCAAACCCTGTTCCATCCGGCGGGCAAAGGTCGCTGTGCCAGAGTGGTCAGGCCTTGTAACGCCTAGGTCATGGATCCGTCAGGAGTGGGACCATTGAGTGCAAATGGATACAGCACTGCAGCTTTGTCTATGCTAAGCTATTCTCCCAACCCGCGCAGCCGGCAGCATCCAGGTATACTCCATCTCCTGCCGGGGGCCTCCCTCCCCACCCCACCACCTGTGCTCCCAGCCCAAAACAGCAGGCAGACTCCCCCCTGCGGACTGAAGCTGCAGTCACACACTCCATCCCACAAGGGGCCGGCTACCCTGTCCTGTCAGGCTCCTGAGCTTTCGCTTCTATTCCTTGACCCAGCCCCCGTACCCAACCACAGCCTGCACTGACACCTGATGGATGGTCCGTCGCTCCCAGCCCTTTGCAGCTGCCCTGAGGGCAGGGACATCACATAGCCCGGCCAGGGTGGGAGCTCCCAGGGTATGCACTGTAGCTGTGAGGACCAGGGGCAGCCAACACCTGGACCTCGCATGCTGACCCTGCCCGGCCCTGTTTCATCTCGCCTCCTCACTGAGCCACTGAGGACACCACAAGGCTTCATCGAAGACTCAAAAGAACCCAGGCAACCTCTGCCCTTCAGCCCCACACAAACAGGGCCGACTAGACAGCTATGGCCTCTGGGCATGGAACCAGGCATCCAGAACCCAGGCCCCCAGCCTGTCTTTCCACTGCCTCTCGGGCTTCGAAGATGATCAGCCACCATGCATACAAAGTTGTTTCTTATTTGCAAGGAGGCCTTGGGACCTGCATCACTGATGCGCGGCAGTGTGCTGACCTGTCCATACACCTCCCGCTGTGCTGGCCCCTCAGAGAAGCCCGCCTTTTCACAGGAAGCAGCACACTTGTCCACCAGAAATTAATTAAACACAAACGGCTGTAAGCAGCCACCTCCTCTGTGTCTACAGAGCTGCTGTCAGTAAGATTCAGAACAACAGCCAACTCCTTCCGTGCGTGGAGGCTTTCCCAAACTCCTGAGAGCATTTCCAATCCACACTGTTCTGGGATAGCCGTCTATCTGATGGCAGGCTGCCGTGCGGGTGTGGCCTCTCACTAGGCACAAGGATGAGGTGCCTAGCTCCGGCAGGTAGGCAGGCAGCGAGGGAGGGAGGGGGACAGGCAGGCAGCGAGGGAGGGGGACAGGCAGCGAGGGAGGGAGACAGGCAGCGAGGGAGGGGGACAGGCAGGCAGCGAGGGAGGGGGACAGGCAGGCAGCGAGGGAGGGAGGGAGGGAAGCGGGGAGAGGGAGGAGAGAGGAAGGGAGGGAGGGCCAGCTGTGAACAATGAGAGGAAAGTGGGTGGCTTATAGGATGCCAGTAAGCCAAGCTAGGAAGTTCAGGTGCTGTGTAGTAAAACGGACACAATGCAATGGTTCATCTTTAAAAGCTCTAATGCTGCGCTTAAAATCATCAAAAGATGGCAAGTGAGCCAAGATCTACAACACCAACCACACACAGCCCCCTGGGCCGGAGCGTACACTGAGAGAAGGGTCTGTGCCCCAGCCACAGAGCCACGGAAGGTTCTAGGCATGTGACGTGCTGGCATTGGCCCTTTGAAGGTTTACAGGGTCACACGCGTCTGAGGAGGCCGGGAGGTCTGGGGCCTCCCCTGGGTTCACGACCCTATCCTGGCACGGTGAATCGGCCCCAGGGTCCAGGGCGGTAAGACTGTGCGGATGGGCCCCAGCGCAGCAGCCTGTGAGCACGGGCGGAGCCCGCAGCTGGCAGAGGGGAAGCGGGGCTTGGTACGACAGTCACTCGCTGGAAGCTTGCCGTGCGGAGCCAGGGGCCACGGGAGTCAGAGGCACAGGGAGGAGCTGGCTGCAGGAGACCGCCTTCCTGAGGCCGGACGGCTGCAGGCAGAGCGAGGACGCCGGGCCCCGGAGCCCAGGGCCCTAGTGAGCCTTCCTTAGGACAGCCTGTGCACCGCGGGTCAGTGCTGGAGGACGCGGTCTGAATCCGTGTCCACACTCCCAGCCCCTTGTACGCCCTACATCATCACGAAACTGGGCATAACCAGACCTGGACCCGAGTAGGCCCCAGAGCCGAGAGGCGCATGGAAGGCGGCATCCCCATTCTCGGGCCCCCCAGGCTGTCCACTGCCTCCAGGGCCCAGGCTTTGCACTGCAAACCCCTCATCCCCCAACAGAACCTCCTTCCTATGGCAAGCAGCACAATTCCCAAAAAGAAACCACTGCCACGCCAAGAGCGAGCGCTTCAGGAGCCAGGAGCCAGGAACACTAGGCCAGAAAGACCCCAATCCACCCGCCACCCCCACCCCACAAACAGGAGGTCCTCCTGACCTCCAATCCACCTCCTCCCCACCACACAACTGGTTTCCTAAATTCCCCTGCTCAACAGGACTCCCGGGGTTCTTTCTCTGATTTCTGTTTTCTCTCCCCACTTCCCTTCCACTCAGTTCTATCCACAACATGTCAAGGTGATACACTACACTCTCCACCAGCCCCAAGAGATCAAAGCACTAATCTATTCTGAGCACAGCGGGACCCCTGCGGCTTCCTGCCCCCCCCATCACCCTCCCCCCCGTGACCTCCCCCGTCACCCTCCCCCCCCGTCACCCTCCCCCCCGCAGGCTGTGTAGCTTCAGGGGCTCCAGGGGCTGCACCCACCCTCATACGGGCATGACCCAGTGGTGTGGTGGGCCTTCTCTCTCATCTTCTCTTGACCTCAAGTTAAGTGAGCAGGGCTCAGACAAGGCCAGCCAGGCCAGTCTGTCAGCTGCCCCAGGCCAGGCCTCTATCTAATTACCACTGTGGCTGGCTCCTGCCCAATAGCAAACGAACTGTCTCTTAAACAAAACTGTGCAGGATGAAGGCGATCTGAGCCACGGCTAGCTGTGTTCTTGCGTCACGGCTGCCATGACGGTGTCTGTCACCAGCAGACCCCAGTGAACCTCCTGTCCTCACCTCTGAGAGGGTCTGGGCCTGCTCTGACCCAAGACTCCTCTTACAGCAAGAGTAAGAGCCTGTGGCGGCCCCAGGCTGCCCTGAGGCTGGGCAGTGGAGGGGGGCAGCCAGGAGAGATGGGGGTAGGTGCGGTCAGCGGGGCCACTCGTTGCTAGAAGTAGGTATGCGTTCCCCTCTTCCTTCACCAGACTGTGGACATCATCCCAGGATGCCCAGCCTGTGGCCGGCCAGAGGGAGGCACAGCCGGGCTGCTGAGGAGCCTCTGGCCCCCGCACAGGGTCATGCAGAGTGATGAGGACATCTCTCCTACCCCATCGCCAACCTGAGTCGGCTGAGCCTCCGGCCAGCTAGGGCACACTGGCCAGTGGGACTTATGCACTGGCCACAGACCACCTGAGTGGCTGTGTGCTCAAGGGGGCCGCCGCGTCTCCCTCTGGCGTACAGGCCAGTAGGCCGGCAGCCCGGCCTCTGCCAGCCAGGCCTGCTCTCCAGAGCCTCCAGGGACACTGTGGGAGTTTTATTCGACCTTGCTTGCTGACATGTCTCCTGGGGCCCTGTGTTCCCAAAGTGCACCCACACAAGGGGCCAGGGGCTCTGGCAGCTCTAGCCGCCAGGGATCCCACTGCTAACACACCGTGCACACCAGGCAGGGGAGGTGGCTGGTCTGGAGGCCCAGTGACAACCTTGCTGTCCTCAGATCACGTGTGCCCCACACTGACCAAGGGAGCAATAGCAGCAGGGGTGAAAAAGAGCCGATCCCCCCCCCCCGATGCCAGGGTTCCAGGGAAGCGCAGCAGAAGCAGCCCCTGCTGGCCAGCCTCCTGGGCTTCCACAGGAGGCGCAGGGCAGCAGCACCCCGGCGGCACATCTCAAGTGGGAAGTGCAGATACTCAGAGTCACCTGACGGCACAGGGCTGAGCAGCAGGCAGTCTGGCGAGCTTCCCTGAGCCTCTGCACTGGGGACTCAGCCTGCGGGACCCCCCGGCCTTTCTTCCCACTTGAGTACCGGGGCCCAGGCTGTAAAACGGAGGAGAGTGACCCTCAGCCCTGGGGCACAGCCCAGCCCTGTACTGCTGGTCTCTCTCTGCAGCCTGGACTGTCCCGATCCTGTCCAGTGCTCTCACTACAGCCTGGACCGCCTCACCCCTGTCCAGAGCGGGCCACTCACCACTGGGCCTGTCTGTTAGGAGGGTATGGCAGAAGGACCTCCTGTCCATGTCAGGTCAAACAGGGGTCAGTGGCCCACTTGGGAGTCAGAGCACAGCGCAGGGACACTGAGGGATGGGCCAAGGGCTGAGACCTGGGCCACATGCGGTCCCCTGGATGGACCAGAGCCTACCAGGAGGTGAACCAATGCCTAAGACATGGGTGCACTTGCCCTGCTGAAGAAACTGGTTCAGAAGTTTAAGCAATGTCACAGGGCCCAGGTACCAAGCGGTCTGGCCAGACGGGAACTGAGACCCTTTGACTCTCGCATCACAGTCCTGGGGCTGGGAAGGTTCTGGGAGGTGCTGCTGAGGACCCGCTGGCTCAGGGAAGTGGCAGGGCGGGGCCTGTCCCACACTCATTAGCTCACGATGCCTGCCACGTTCACACTGCGGGGGCCCCGAGTGCTGGCCGCTGTGGCACCAGCCAGGCCAGCGTCCAGCAGCAGCAGGCCAGCAGCGAGCAGAGCAGGACGCCTCACGGCGCCTCCACAAATCACCGCGAACTAAGACTTACCAACCCTCTCTCCCAGCAGAGAGTCAAACCCAAGTTCTTCTGAAAAGGCATTTACTTACTTGAAAATCTCTTTCTTCTAGTATTTCTTTCCTCCATCTCACAAGAAAAGCAGCACACACGTACAAGTGGAAATGAGAAAAGCCCTCGGGTTCAGACTGAAAGAAAATACAAGGGAGAGAGATTTTAGTGTGAGAGCCATTAGCACAACTGTAAAACTCTCGGAGCAACAATTGGCCTGGTTTATCTAGTCTGGGTTCAGGAAGAACCAAAGCAGGGACCGCTTGCTCACTTAATGACTTAGTTTCAAAATTCTTGTCTCATTAAAATAAGCGCCATTTTCTCCATAAGTACCGGCAGCCTGATACACAGGATGGGAGCAGGCCAACTTTTAGGTAGCATCAAAAGTAGTTGTTCATTTTCTTCCCACATGCACTTAACAGCCAACAATGATTAAAGGCAGACTCAAAGAGCATGCACCCTGCACCAGATACAGGCTGCATCTCAGAGCAGGACAGCACTGAAGAGGGCAGCAAGCACTATTTCAGTGGAGAAATAAGCTGAGAGGTTGAGGAAACGGTGGGGCTGAGACAGTGGGCCAGACAGGAAGCAGATGCTGGGGGCGGGAAGATCTAAACAACAGCCAGGAAGTTATGGGAGTCAGAAGACAATGTGAACCAGAGCGTATAGGTAAGCCAGGAACTAGGAGATGCGTGGAATTTTGATACGGAAGCCATTGGACGTCAGGCTGGAGTGCTGGCAGCTACGGACAGCACTGCACTTCTTCAGCTACTAACTCCTTCAACAACATCCTTGCCTTTCCCATCCTGGCTTTGAGGCTGTGTTGACATTTCCCTGTGACAATGAAGCTCGCTTTATGACAATCCACAGCACCAAGAAAAAGTCCCCTTCCATTCCCAGTTTACTGGAGTTCTTCCTAGAGATAGCTACAGAGGTGAAGCAGAAGCATTCTGGCCACCAGTTGAGGTGACCAACTGTCCTCCTAAATTCTATCTGGTCATGGAGTCGATGATGTGGGCACCAGAGTTCCTTTAATGTGCCAACCTTGCGTTCCTGGAATGAGCTCCGGCTCTTCACAATGTGTCATATTCTTTACATGGCTGGGTCTGGTAGCTCACATCTCACCCAGGGATCGAGCATGCACACTTGGTAGATTCTCCTGGAATTTTCCTTTCTTGACCTGTCAGCACCTGGTTGAAGCATCAGGCTGTTGGCCAATCCCTCCTTTTCCAGCTTCATTAAGAGTCTACACAGGACTGGGATGTGAGCCCTTCTACCTTTGAATGTCTGGAGAGTACCAGTAAATCAGCAGCGTTTCTTAGTGGGTGGAAAAAAATTCACTCCTGATTTAATTTCTATATGGTTATAGAAAACAATTCAGACTTTCTCAGATTACTACACCATTTTTTTCCAGGAATATGTCCTCTAAGTTTTGAAATTTTGTAATAGCATTCTACTTTCTCTGAATCTCCGGGAATCTGTAGTGATACTGGTCGCGATGTCTAAGACTGTTCTACTTTCTTCTATCTCTTCATTTGCTTACTTATCAGTAAATTTATAAACACATGGCTCATTTTTAATTTTGTCTCATTAGTTTTTCTTGGTTAATGACTTGTACCTTGTGTTTTAAGAAAAGATGATGTGCATATTATAGTCAGTACTGATTTTTTTTTTTTTTTTGCTGTTCCTAAGGCTTGAACTCAGAGCCTGGGTGCTGCCCCTGAGCCTCTCTGTGCTCCAGGCTAGTGCTCTACCACTTGAGCCACACCACCACTTCCTGCTTTGTCTGTGTATGTGATAGTGAGGAGTCGAACCCAGGGCTTCACGCATGCTAGGCAAGCACTCTACCACTGAGCCACATTCCCAGCCCGTGGTACTGATTCTTTAAAGACATTTGGAGAATACAATCCATTTTCACAAATACTCCCTGACTCCCACCTTGGCTGTGTCCTTTTGGCTCATGGCAACAGCTGGGAGGGGAGGGGGTTCACGTCACCAGGGCCCCAAATGGAGCAGCTCGGGCCCTGGTAACAGTGATCTATTCCTGACACATCGACATCAATAACAGCTGGGAGGGGAGGGGGTTCACGTCACCAGGGCCCCAAATGGAGCAGCTCGGGCCCTGGTAACAGTGATCTATTCCTGACACATCAACATCAATTTGCATTTTGCTATTCCAAAGTTTCCAGTTGTCCTATCTGCCTACCACTTTTCTCTCTTGCCTACATGTACACTGGTTCCAATTCCCTTTTTGTTCTAATGTCCCACCTCCAATTAATCTGGAGGTTACTGAAGTGTTTTAAGTATCTGAAGCATTCCTCTGCATATTTAAGTTAATGGTACAAATGAATCATTATTCTTCTCCCAAACAGCATAATAAGTGAATAATATTTTGATTATACTCATCTCAAAGACATATACAGATCTCATCTTTTCTTAGCTATATGCTAATACTGTCTTGGGTTTTAGTCCTATTTGACTTTAACATTACCTGCTGAGATACTGTTCTTGCTGTTGCTTTCTGTATCAGTGATCAAAGCTGCTTACAATTTTATCCTTTTTTCACTCATTCTTTCTTCTTGCATCTAGATCTTTCTTCTGAAATCGTCCTTTTTGAAATCCAACCATTAGAGAAGGCTCTTTCACGAGAGGCTCGTTGGCTTTAGCTCTGTCGGTTTTTATTTGTCTCAAAACATCTTTACTTCATCCTTGTTCCAGGACAGCTTTATTGGACCTACAAGACGAAGTTAGCTACTGTCTCGGCCGTGATCCACATGGTATCTTGCCCTCAGCTGTTAGTGTCAACTTCCTTGTGCCCCTCCTTTGGGAATCTGCCAACCGTTCTTTCGGATTGCTCAGAGTGCTTGCCTTGTCTTGGATGTTCTGCTGTCCCTTGTGGAAATTACTCCACTGGAAACGGTCTGGTCCCCGCCTGTGAGGAGCAGGGGGCGTCCACCGGCTGTGGGAGCCAGCTGCGCTATCTCATACGTACCACCCGTGCCTCCGGCTTTCCTTTTATTTTTCCCTGAGCTCTGGTGAGGCAGACTCTGGTTTTGTCCACATTGTCCTCCATTTCTTCTAACCTCTCTTTCTTCTATTTTCCTCTGCTCTCTTCTAGTTCATTTTTCATCTGCCCACTATGTCACACGTTCTAACTCATCTATTATGTTGGAAACTTGTCTTGCACATTGTAATTGTTTCCCCCTTCACTTTCTGATTCAATATTTTTCATGCTTGCTTTCTTTTTTTTAAATCATTTTAAACATACCAGACTCATTTCACAGAGCATTTCAGATTGCTCTATAAAACTCTGACTCCTGGGTACGTCTCTTTCCGCAGCTGCATTCTCCTGCCCCCGGTGAAGACTCGCTGTCTTGGAACTTTTATCTGTCGGAATTCTTTGGGACTTGTTTTTAAAAATAGTTTTCTTTTTGACAATAAAAAATTGACTTTGCTTTGCTGGGACTTTAGGGTATTATTATCTCCCAGAATACCTCAAAATAATTTTCAACTTGCAACTACTTTTCAAGCCAAATAGGTAATGTGAATTGGTACCCATTGTGAATGCAAGATACTGTTGGAAATCCTGGGGCAGAGTGAGTGAGGAGGACGGAAATCTTTCATTTTCATTAACCTTTATGACCAAGGTCAAGAAAGGCAACGCCTACACCTGTTCAGCCTCTGAAGCCCCAGGTTTTATCTTCCACTTAAGCTCATTAAAACCAGACTGCAGGCCCAAGAAATCCCAGGCAGCCTTCCTGGTGAAGACCGTCTGTAAGGCCGACCCCCTCTCTCTCAAGACTTGCATTTCCCTAGCTTTCTAGTCTCTGATCATCTCTCCTTATGATCATGTTTACAGAAGCAACAACAGCATCCTGGGGTGCTGGAGATTTTGTGGACAGCCAGTCCTCCAACAGCACCAGAAAAGGAAACCTCTGCCCATTTATTTTTCTTTAAGCTAACTCGTTTCTGGTAAATTGTGGGGTGGGTTACTGCCATGGCTTCATCGTACAGGTTGGAAGGGATACTCAGAACACTGTACGCAGCACTAACGTTCAACAGCTTTGCCTTGGGACTGGGTGACTATCAGGAGTAGTGAAGTGCTGCAGGCCTTTACGAGGGAGCCACCCAGCCAGCGCCAGCGGGAGCTGCGGTGCCTCTTCTAATCACATGGCTGCCATCCTGTGCCACAGCTGCCAAGCATGAAGCAGAAACCATCTCACGTGATGCCTGGGCACGCTGGCGACCCCCCCCAGCCCAGCCCTCTGCTACTTCCTCCAGTGCCGGACGTCCAGACCCCCTCCACGTCCCCCAGCAGGGGAGACCTTCCTTGTCTGCAGATCCGGGACACCCTTTTGCCCTTCTCTAGTCTCCACAGGGCTCTGGCCAAGTCCTGCTGCGACTCCCCTCACCACCGCTGTCAGTGAACACAGGCCCGGCCCCCAGGAGCTCTGGGGGCTCTGTGACCCCTTCTTTGAAAGCTCTGCCAAACCCTCAATGGTGGGATCAGAGACTGAACAGAATCAAACATTCCCCAAGTTCGCTGGTCCACTGCCCAAACAGGGGACTGACAGGCCCCAGGAGTGGCAGGCTGCTTTACACAGGCAACATGCACGGCAGGGGACTGAGCCACACACAAAAGCCCTCCCATCTTTAAGCCTGGGGGTGGGGGCCCTCAGGAGCACCTGACTGGTACTGGAGCTGAGAGAGGAAAGTCCTCTTCAGGAGGGCTCAGGGATGTTCCAGAAAGATGGGGTCTCTGAGGATCCTGTCTGCGCTCTTTGTTTTCAGCAGCCTTTGCTCTGACCAGCCAGGGCACAGTCGGCCTGGGCCGCACCCCTCCCCACCTAGTGAGAGCACAGAGGTGGGCTGTCACCCCACAGCCCCCCGAGATCTCCACGAGGGCAGGGTGCCTGCAAGCCACACTTCCAGGGAAACGGGGCGCTAGGGAAGAATGGAGTGTTACCGCTTCCTGTAAGTGGATTATTTGTCTCCGGTGACTTGGTAAATTATATTAAAATAGCAATTTGGAAAAAGCTGAATATCATGCGTGGAAAATAGGCTTCTGCCTTATTGCAGCTTAACCTGGAGAACTGCGTTCCTGCCCGGTGTCGGGGAGGGAGCTGGGAGGGCCCCC